GGTGCCGGCCGGGGGGGGGGGGGGAGACGCCCCCGACGAGGGGTCAGATTTCCCCGACGAAAGCAAAGTGGGCGTGGTGGAGCTTCGATTAAAAGGTTTCGAAAGTGGTCGAGGGGGAGAAACCCCCGAAAATTTTGACAATTTATTTTAGAGTCTCCTAATATGTAGAAAATACATTTTTTTTTTCTCCCCGACGAATTGTGCTTTTTCTCCCCGACAAGGGGGGGGGGGGGGGAGGGGAAGGAAGCTCTCCCCGAGGGGCCCTACATGTAGGCCTACTCACGGCTATAACCTGAATGACCGCTTGTTGGTCCAGTGCCAGTTGATGGTGTGGAACCGTATGTTCGTGTCCAATCGAAATTGTCCCCAGATTCTTGAGACCAACCTCCCCAATCATTTTGGAAGTTAGTTCCTATTAAATAATCAAAGACAAAGAAAGTGTTACAAAAGCAACAGAATCCTTCAAAGGACAAGGTATCTTATAATTATATAATGGTTGCGGTGTTATTGAAATAGGTTTTTGTTAGTAACAATACAAAATGCACCTTCAACATTGATGTTGATGTCATCAATTGCTATGTCCCCTGTAAACGAGTTTCCATCAGTGCCTTCGAATACGACGTAGTTATTGCTATTTCCATAACGCTGGAAGTATACTTTTGCATAATGCCACGAATTCCCTTGGTTACCAGATCTTGTCCACAGAGAAGTATAACCGTTGGTGGACTTTCTGTAAACCTTGAGAGTTCCCATTGCAGCTCCGTACATATGGTAGTAAAACTCTAAACTGTAACTTCGCGTCACTGGTAGCAATGGACTCTGTAGACGAGCTGACTCACCAGTAGATACAGAAGTAGTTTCAATATATACATAATAATCCTCTAAAACAATAGAAAGATCATTACTTAATTAAAGTAAGGCGAGATGAAAGATGTGAATCAATAATCTATGATCAATGAAATCAATTTATACATTTACTTAATCAATAAATGACTTATAAGCAAATAAAATAATTAAATATAGTAAGTAAATGAATGAATAAATAAATAAAATTAAGTATTGAACGAACGAACGTTCGTACGTACGAACAAACGAACGAAAAACGAACGGATTGATAGCATTTGGATTTCTTTAGCGTGAAAGGTAGCCCACAAATGTCTGAAGAATATTTCCAATGGGTCCTTCTGTTAGTTAATTGCACCTGGAGACAATCCCCTATCAATATTCCAAAGAGTATATAATGTCCACATGGGCCATGTTGCACAGGGGGCAAACGGCTTATTTACCCGAGAGACGGTGCGCAATCGTAATTTGAATTTTAGCCTGTGTTTGACAAATACATGTAGGCATACTCACGGCTATAACCTGAATGACCGTTTGTTGGTCCAGTGTTAGACGATGATGTAGAACCGTATATTCGTGTCCAATCAAAATCGTCACCAGATTCTTGAGACCAACCTCCCCAACCATTTTGGAAATTATAAGATGCTATTAAATAATAAAAGACAAGAAAGTGTTACCAAAGCAATAGAATCGTTCAATGGTCATGTTAACTTAATTGTAGGCCTGCAGGTATCTCCATTTAATCACCCTTCTAATAAAAGACCACCACCAATATTAAAGACCATTTTTCTGCGGCACCGTTTAAATGCCTATCATTTATTATAAGCTAGCTCCTCCATGTAAAGTCCCTCTCTGTTTAGAGACCTTGCTTTCCAGTGGTGGACACAACTAAAACAATTCCCTCCAATTAAAGACCACTATAAAGTAAATACTGTAGCAACTTTTTGTATAATACATTTTGTTATATGACTTCAAACATAACAAATTTAGCCAATGCACATCATAAGGTGATGTTTATGTATACTGTGTTTTTTATATGTTGAATACAATAAGCTTAGTGGTGATGTTTGTAATTATTTTAATAGAAAGCTGGGTAGAACGAGTACGGGACCTGATGTCTGGCTACCAAGAAATGTTGTATTAGGAATAAATAACAGCACGCAGTAACTGTCCGTCCGCTCTAAAATATTTAAACATAGTGCCAGCCTTTATGACATGCTATCTCATAGGCCTATTAAATAGAGCTCTATCTCATGTGATTGGATGGAAAGCGTAGCCATTATGTACCTATACATATGGATGATCATCAATAATAGTCGTAACATCAGGTCACCAGCGATTCATGCGCGAGCCATGACGGTAATAATTTATGCGGGACGTGTACCAACAGTGCGAGTCATGCGAGGAACACAAAATTCCACGCTAATAAACACTTGTACAATTTATAAAACAATTACAATAATGAATTAACTACTTTTAACATAATTATTTTGATGTTAAAAAGATAATTGCCACACACGTGACTTCAAATAGGCCTATAATGAATGACAGGTTATGTATTATTCATTTTCACTCACACTCTGCCCATTCGCCTCATGCATGGATGGAGGACCATGTTTATTTTCCACAACATAAACATGACTAGCAAAGACAATTAAAAAACTTGAAACAAAACGCAATTGAAAGAGTAAACGTCATAATTTAAAATGCATAAAAGACTAATAATAATTAATTTATGGGCTACCCCCCCCCCCCCCCCCCCCCCCAAAAAAGTTATTTGGAATAAACGCCTTGACGTTTAATTGAAATTGGAGCAACATCATTTTCAGCATTGGATTAATTATCAGTGTTTTACCCTAATGGAATTAAATCAATTGCTAATTAATTAGGGATTTAATAGCCGTTAAAAACACTTACCATTAATTATGCATAGTAGACTACATTTACCGGTAAACACTGGCTCCTCAAAAACCCATCTGAACAATAAGCGCCCCGGAGTGCTTATTCGAATAAATGCGGTATATTATAATTATTGTATAATTATATATAATTTACTTAATTGCCTGACTGTAATGCCAAATTATATAAAAACAAACGTATGATTAGCAAATTAAATTATAAATTAAGTTGTAGATGCTGTCCTTGTTTAGTACAGCATTTTTGATTGATTTAAAAGAAATGCAATTTTGACATGTATACCACAAAAACACCAAATTATGCCTGCCCTTATCCATTGACGATCTCTACTTTTTTAAAATTATTTATTCAGCTTTAGGCACTAGGGCCAAGGATATACCACAAAAACACCAAATTATGCCTGCACTTATCTTACCCAATGACGATCTGTACTTCTTTTAAAAAAAATTATTTATTCAGCTTTAGGCACTAGGGCCAAGAATGAACTATTTTATATATATTTGCAGTAAATGCAAATCAATGCATTCAGTCCAGGGTGTGGTTAAATAATGGGAGAGGATAATGGAGCTATGTGTGGCACATATTTAGGGAGTTTGTAAACCAAGTTGTGGTTATGGTGATCCTCAAAAGTATAGAATAACCCCATACTATTTTAATATTCTATTTATTTATTATTTATTTATTAATATATCATAATAAGTCTAAGAACAGTAACATTAATTATTTATCAAACGTGAATAAACATGCAGGTGGGTACGACTCGTCTTTTCAGAATTCATCCCTCCTCCTTGTCGGTCGCCCTCTCCTGTTCCTGTTGGTTTCGAGGTTGGCGAGGGCTCGTTGCGACTCCTTTTAAATTATCTTCCAGGGAAATGACTGGGCCGGGTTGAATTAAGTCACCCTTTGATGGAAGGAAATGCTTTAATTTTAGTATTACTCGATGAAAATGTCATATGAACATCATAATTTATATTAAAATATTGTCATTGATACTTTTACAGATTTTTAGCTTCATGGCTTGCATGAATCGCATGTGTTACAACCGCTAATGTAGAAAACAGCAGCTAATGTTGCAACCGTTAATGTAGCACACTCCACAGCTTATGTAGTAAAACTCCCCGCTAATGTAGAAACACCAACAGCTTATGTAGTAAAAAGAAAATCAACCCCAGCTAATGTAGAACGAGCAACAGCTAATGTAGTAACGAAAATTGCCTCACAGCTAATGTAACTACTATCGCCAGCTAATGTAGAATATAGTATAACAATTTATATCAAAGGGGAACATATAATCGAGGTTACCAGCTTCAAACTATTACGAACGCTTTAAATCGAACGTTTTTGATGTATAATTGATTGATTTTTTAATGACAAGTTATGGGTTATATCTTCTGTGTAATGGTCTGAGTTACTTAATTAAAATATAAAACATTAAAAAAAATACAATTGAAATTATTACAGTTAAATAATGTTGTTAAAGCTATTTATAATGTTATGTAACCATATTTGATTTACTATTTTTTTTCATTTGTTTGATTGTTGGGGGTAATGCTGATTTCATCAGCCTCTGATTCGAAAACGTTTCGTTATATTATATTATTGATTTACCTATTAGAAATGAAGCTGGGATGCTCACACAGATGGAAAAAATGCATATATCAGAAAAATATGATGTGACGTTTTCATAATTCGTGATGAAGTGTACGTATGATTTGACACAAGGTGACATGTACTTCATGATAGCATAGTTTAAACGTCCGTTCATACGAAATTCTTTTGGAAGCATGAACACAAGGGGTGTAATTTTATTTAAACAGAAAAAAAAAATTGTAAATGATACCTAATGTGACATATATAATTCATGATGGAGTATGTCCATAAAAGTTAGTACTTTATGGGCAGATTTTATGTTAAAAAAAAAAAAAAAATGTTAAAAAACAAAACAAAACAAAAAAAAAAAAAAAATGTAATTGCAAATAGATGATATTCATAACTTGTATCATGATTGAGTGAACGAATTCTGCTTAAAGATTTGTGAATTGTGAAACTGTCAAAAGGGCCGAAAAAATGAAAAATTTACTTTTGTAAATATGAGGATACTCAATGAGTTTCATATTTATTCACTTAAGGGAATATAGATAAGTATAAAACAGAAAATTATTGAAAAAAGAGATAATGGAAAATAAAGGTGGGTTATTCCCACAAAAGAGAAAAAAAAATAGCTTATGTAGTAAAAAGAAAATCAACCCCAGCTAATGTAGAACGCTCAACAGTTAATGTAGTAACGAAAATTGCCTCACAGCTAATGTAACTACTATCGCCAGCTAATGTAGAATATAGTATAACAATTTATATCAAAGGGGAACATATAATCGAGGTTACCAGCTTTAAACTATTACGAACGCTTTAAATCATTATTAACAGTACATTTCGACGAAATTCAGTGCCATTGTTTCGACTAAATTCAGTTTGATGCCTGTCAGTTGTTTGTTGTTTGCCATCACACAGTATAGTCCTCAATGAATATTGTTATATAAATAAGTTGTGAGGTAAATTACCTCCAACGGGAATCTAACCTGTGACCTCTTGCTGTCAAGGTGAACGCCATAACCACTAAATCACCACCATTTTATCATATATGTATTTTATATGGCTATTTTTATATTTTGCTCTGACGAAGGGCTATTACCAAGGGGAGGCATTTCTCTCTGGCTGTTTACGTTAAATATAATAAGATCAGGGGCGAATTTGGGTTGAAATTTACTGGGGTGGAGAGGGGAGGTCAGCATCCAAAAAAAAAGGAAGAAAAAAAAAGAAAGGGGATGGGGTCCTCCCCCGGGAAAATTTTGATTCCTAGATGGGGGGAAATGAGCTTTCCCGACTTCTGACCAGTGTCTTTTAATGACTTCCAAGTTTCTCAAAATTCAAGGTTTTATGCCCTCTTGAAAATGGTCAGGTATAAACTTTATCATTCTTATTACAGTAAAAAGACTATGTATGTATATACATTTAAAAACAATTGAGTAGTTTCATACGTATTCTTTTTTATGAATCGATGAGCGCCAAAGAGGACATATGTAGGGAGAATTTTGATTCTAGATGGCGGAAAGTGAGCTTTCCCGACATCTGAGGTGTCTTTTATTGACTTGTTAGATTAGGTTTGCTCTTTCTTGAAAAATGATTCAATGAATTGATGAACCCCAAAGTGAAAGGGGGGTCCGGGTACTCCTCGGAAATTTTTTTGATTCCTAGCTGGCGGGAAATGAGCTTACCCACTTCTGAAGTGTCTTTCAATGACTTTTAGTTTCTTCCAAATTCAAGATTTACCTCTCTTCAAAACGGCGAGGTAATTTAGTTCTCATTTAATTCTATTACAGTAAGTAGGCCTATTGTGTGTGTACCGGTATATATACATAAAAAAAAAGAGTATTTTTGATTCCTAGATGGCAGAAAATTAGCTTTCTCGACTTCTGATTTTCCCATTGTAACAAAAAAATTTCAGCTTACGGGTCCTGAAAAAAGTAGGTCTAGATTCTTTTTTATTATTTTTTTCCGCAAGGGGGATTGGGGTCAGGACCCCCGACCCCTCCCGATCCACCAATGTAAGATGTAGGCCTATAAGACAGACCGGCAGACCAACCGACTGACTGATGAAATGACTGACCGACCGACATTATTAATAAATTGCCTACCAATAGGCCTAAGTATAATGCAGGGCACGTTCTGCGTCGTACGACGAATCCAACTTCGCTCACTGTAGGACGTCTGAACGTATCGTTCTCCATAGAATCTCGTCGGCCGACGACGAAGACCGAGTCTTCGTTTTGTAGACACCCATAGGGTGTCTATAAAACGAAGACCCTTGAAAATTTCACAAACAGACGCCCAAAAAAATTCGTAATTGATTTTGTGACAGCCTGGCGTATTATCATCAAAATAAAAGAAAAAAAAACAGGGGTCTTCGTTTTTGGGTATTGGGTCTTCGTTTTATAGACCTATCGACCGACCGCGACGAACCTACGCCATTGTCGATCTTATGAACAATGCGATACAATTATTAAGCCTAATTGTTACCGAGATGAGCACCCCATAATATAGGCATAGGTGGCCTTTTTTAAAAGTGCTCTCACGCCATTATGAAATTTGCAGGCAACCTAATTTTAGTTCCTCCCATGATTTTCAGCCAATGGTATTGTAATATTGTAATATTCTACATTAGCTTACGATAGTAGTACATTACCTGTGAAGCAATTTTCGTGTCTACATTAGCTGTTGAGCGTTCTAGCTGGGGTTGATTTTCTTTTTACTACATAAGCTGTTGGTGTTTCTACATTAGCGGGGAGTTTTATTACATAAACTGTGGAGTGTGCTACATTACTGAGTTGTTACTACATTGTTGTTTTCTACATTAGCGTTTGTAACAGCATGCCTCGCTGTTTGTCAATAACCAATAGGAAGGCACTCCCTTTTTTGACTACCTTCAAAAATATGGCAATGACTCAACCCAAGGCTACAATTAACATTATTAAAGACAAGATACTCGAACTATAAGAATATCATAGTACAGTAGTTAGGCTATATTGGTCAAGTAGTGGGTGAGTTTATGCGACATATTTAGATTAGAGTCTTTACATTTCGTTGTTCAATTTAATTCAATGGAGGGATTTAGCGATCGATGATTGTTTAGACCTAACTTAGGTATACTGTACATGAAAAACATTACAGTGCGATAGATAGGAAAAGATAATGTTATGGTTGCGAAAACAACCACCCACTGTTAAACGTGAGAAGTAAATATCTGGGAAAGGCAATACGATTGTTCAAATCCTTCTCCATGGATAACTGTATGCTTTGAAATTTAGGTGATCCCTTCATAAATCTTAGCTGACCCTAACATGGCAGCGTAGTTCGTCGAAAATCATCAGTGATACCTTAACATGCCGTGTGCAGGGGCCTAGGCCTAACATTTGTCGAAAATATTATTGTTTGCGGCCAGTATCTTTTACAGCATTAGCAATACATTATAAGGCAAAATTCTTAAGTTAAATTTTCAATCAATTTTGTATAGTTTACTGGAAATTATGATGATCTTTA